ATTTGTTTTTTTTTTATAATGAAATATTATTTCAATTTTGATATTGTGTCATTAATTTTGAAATTGAATTTTGTATTTATACTGGTACTTACTCAGATTACGATTTTTTCCGGCAAAATTATTAAAGTTATTAATTGCGAAAACTGTCAATAGTATGTATAAACCTTAACTGCTTAATAATATATTCCAATAAATACGTCATTTGTGACGTATTCCTTCCTTCCTTCCTTGGTGGATATGTGATTGTGAATCATCAGACATTTGAGAATGGTTTCCCGGAAACTGTTCTACGCTTCCAAACTCTAGTGGTTGTTGGTCACAATGGTCTGCAATATACTATTTCGGAAGTTCGGGGTCACGTGATATCACAACGTCATTAATTCCGACATATTTTTTTATTCTGCTTCGTAACTAGACGTATAATAATCACTGAAATGGATATGTAGAATATCAGTCTATGGCGGCGCATGTTAGTAGTAACTATTTTTCTGTTTGAAATACCCGAAAAACGTCTATTGGTGCGAGTCAATAGGTTGGTGGCGTAAACACAATATCACGTGACTGCAGTAGAAAACCACGAATAGTGTATGACCAATACTAGTAATATTAGATTGGACTCTTTTAATGTTGAATTTCAATCAAGCACATTTTGAGCCTTGTATTGAATCTAGTAATATGAACTATGTCTCAAGAATTGTATCTATTTTAATTGTATTTCCATAACCAGAACTCGTGTATAATCTAGCTACATGTTTTTTATTGTCTGGGTATTTTATTTACAATATTTTACAATAATCCTTTGATTTACCGAAATTCGTCACCTGTTTTTAACGGATTTAGTGACGTCATCGGACGATGACAGCAGTTCCATTTTAGCTATTTTGAACTAATGAATATGTTATATATGTTGAAGTTATTATCAAAAGCGTGTCTTTTGTTAATTTACTTCAATTTGTAGATAGGAATATGTATAAATTAGATCGTTTAGGTTGTGGGCCAGCTAGTTGATTTGATTCACAGATGTAACATTGTGAGTGACATCATATTCACACTGCGCATAACCTCTCACGAGCATTGCGCATGACGTCATCTAAAGTATGTAATGTCTACCTCCATTGCGCATGTTACAAGTGCAAGTCATTATACATCTTCAATATGCATCGTGTTTGCAAGGTTACTACAGTTCTGAATCCGTTCGCGATAATGACGTGTTTTTGATAAATGATGCAAATTATTTTCACTCAAGAATTGTTTTTAAATATGTTATCATATGTCAGCTGTACAATAACAAGTTTCAAATAAAGAATATACAGACAAGTATGGAACATAGTGTAATATTATTATTTACATTTTTATTATTATTTACCTCACCAGACACATCGTGTTGGGACTCTTTCGTGAACAGCGATATTTTTTTATGAAATTATTTAATTGTATAGACCCTATATAACTTGATTTGCAATTCCCAACATCAATTATATATTACGTATATATTAGAAATATTTAGTATTTAGACACATTTTTATTGAATTTGAATGACTCTGTTAGCTGAAAACGTTAGGGGTACGGTTACTAAAAAGATATTTATAAATTTCAATCCTACAGTCAATCAAATAGCGCAGTGTTCAATAACGTCACAATTTTGGCGGACTGCAAGCCTTATAAAAAAAAATTCCAATTCACATCGTTTTGATTATATCTTTTCGACTCACCCTAAGGGTATACGCATAACGATAGAAATGAATATAGGTAAGCGTCCTTGAGTTACGTGTATGCAGTACATTGTGAGTGCAATTCGGAGACTGATTAGCTCGTGATTCGTGTTGTGTTTGGATTTTGACATCTTAACTTTCATTTATGTCTCATTCCTACAGGAATGAGTGGTAGAGATGTATTAGAGCAAGTGGAACGTGGTTATCGAATGCCAAAACCGATGTACTGTCCCGACAGCCTCTACGAGTACATCATGATGAAGTGTTGGGCCAAGGATCCATTTGAGAGACCAACTTTTGAGTTTTTGTTCAGCTTCCTAGACGACTACTTTGTTAGTACTGAAGCTAACTACAGCGAGGCGAACGATTATCTGTGAACCAAAAAAAATTCCAAAACTTTGGAAGAGGAACATGTGTTTTGGCTAGGTGTGACAGTTTGTTGTTGTGCATGAATGAATGAATTACGATTATGACGGTTTTTGCCGTGACAAAATTTGGGGGAAAAAACCCGCCGGGGGGTATCTAAGAATTACAGTAACATCATCCTGAGAAAACAAAACTGAAAAACGGGGGTTAGAATTTAAATTAACATTTTGAAAATGTCAATATCTTTTCACCTTGTATATGTCATCGAATAGATTCCAAATTTATTTTGTAATTGTTTGATCGTCGTGATTAATGTGTAAAAAGACTTTCTCGGATTATTAACGTTGTTTAATTACGGAGAGGAAATCATCGTGATATTAAATAAGACATAATTGATTTCTGTATTTCGTCATAAGTTATGAAAGCCTGATCACATTATTGTAATAACAGTATATTATACTGTAAAATGACTAATTTTCACTGGGTTTAAATTTCACTGATTTGCCATTTCAGGCATATTCAGTGGGTTTTAAATTCACGGTTTTATCATTTAGATAATGTGTTCTATGCTAAATTTTACATATTCACTGGGTTTTAATTTAGCGCATTTTCCAGTCAGCGAAATAAGCCAAATTAAAACCCAGTGAATAATTAAGCCCTTTACAGTATTTCATTTTATCTTTTATTTATAATAACTAAATCACCGCAAGTCGTTTAAATATATAAATTCTATCTTTGTTGCAAAGTTTTAATTGTAGCTGGTAGTTGGCATGATTTGAATCTTCGTTTCGCGCGCTCGGTGTAAAGCATACGCCCAATCAAATTTGACGTTACCCGTGATCCCTGATCATAAACAGAATCATGATGTAGCGTCACGGTTGTGTTGCCGATCGTGAATAAAACGCCAATGCATGTTTTGAAGCTTTATAACTTGTACAGTTGTTCCCATTTCCAGGATAATACTCGGTATGTGACCTAGAACTATTTTTGCAGACTACCACTTGATCGTATAGCAGTGCGTACTAGAATTTGAAACTTGCATCACATTACAGTTTGGCTTCAATGTGACCGTCCTTTTGGATGCTCCGCTTCGAGCATGGTTCGGTCTGTGCAAAATATTGATACCATTGTTATAAGTTCAAAGTTCATACCCAGCAACCCTATAGTTACTATGCTATTACTGAGAGCGTAACAACTGGCACGTTAAAGCGGGGGAGTTGTCACCTGCGCATGCGTCAGATGGCCATAGCGTGTCATTGTTTACAAACAAGCGTCTAGCCATGAGCCTTTGCGTTTTAGCGTGTGTTATTGTCGCTTGGGACTCAATTCCCGCGCGTGCGCAGGTGACGACCCCCCACCCCGCTTTAATATTACTGATCTTTCACGTTGTCGTTTTTAACAACTGCATTCTTTAGTGTAATATAGTGAAAATGAGGAAACAGATTAGTAGATTGAATGTGTCCACTTATTTGGATGTTAATCTTCAAGTATCCGGTTGTAAAATGTCAGTTCAATCTCAGAATGGGAAGAAAATCATGTATAACGAACAATTTGACTGAACAATGCATTGAAGGACGTATCTCTAGTATTGCCAGAGAGGGCGCACTTCAATACACGTTGGCTATGTAGCACCTGTCAAGGCGTCAGTGGGGAGGCGGTGGCAGAATAAACGAGCATTGGCTACCGAAAATGGTACTTTGGCAACATCGCCCGTAAAGAAACCGGGAAAAGTTGAAAGAGGCGACCTAAGTAACGTCGTTTGTTTGTTTGTTTCAATTCATGTGTGAACGATTTTAAGGTGTTTGTATCAGTGAAAAAAGTAGAAGTAACTGACGACAATAAATAATCTCACTCAAAGTACTTAGAAACAAGACTTTACTTAGTGAATAATCACATGTCATATAGTACACAAGTTTATCGCGTATTTATACAAAAGCTAAAGCAGTGACATAACTCTTATTGGCGAGCCGGCAAGTGAAAATAAAATGACCCTCTAAGTATGTCTTTATCATGGTTAGCATGTTGGTTTTTATAGGGAATTACATATCAGTGGAAATCATAACCAAAGCTCAAAGAAACAATTGAAAACATAGGATCTCCCTATTGTGAATTTCATCCTCAGGTTTTTGCTGTCCAGGCGATGAAATATTCGATGCTAGTGGTAAACTAGGAGAAGCCATCCGAAGGCGTCACGTTTCGAAAACCCCTTAATGATTTATGAAAATATGGGGAAGAAAATTTACGGGCTATTCTTGTGTTTCTAGTGTAAAAAATATTTTGACTTTTTCCTACTGTTGTAATTTATGTAAACTTAATAACAATAATTAGCAGTATTATAGCGGAGAAGTCGTCACTTGCGCACGTACAGGAATAAGAGTCCCATGTGGCGATAACAAAGAAAAAACGCTAACAAACGCAATGGCTCATGGGTAGGCGCTAGTTAGACAATGGACACGCTATGGCCGTCGGTCATATGCGCAGCTGACGACTCCCCGCTTCAATATTATTTAAGCACTATGATCAAAATTCAAATGTTTGTATGTTTATTGAGAGAATGACACCGCATGAGATTGTTTACATGTTTCTATTCATTGTTTACACAGCCTGGTCTGCGCAGTGTGAAGGGTGTATCCGCAATGGAGAATTTGAAGGAATACCTTGTGCCCATTTTTGAGAATGGGTATTTGAATAAAACCACTAAATTTCAACAACTTTCACTTATTGTTTTCTATTTTAATTTGAAAATCGCGAATATAGCCAAATCTCGCGATACCTAAAAGTCGTTCAGGTCAGTCCATTACCAGGAAGTAACAAGGTTAGTTTCATACCCGATTTTGATTGTTTCTAAACACTGATTCAGCTAATTGTAACTCCTTGGATTGAAATAATCTTAATTTTTAACGCGTTTGTGTGATTGAAAAGAGTACCATGTTCGTGAATTTTCTAGAAAACCAAACCCTAAATGCGTAACGAGTGCAGTGACCATCATACCTTGAGAAAACGCCCGTTTCATGCGTTTTCATTTTCTAACAAACATGGGTATCATTTCGAATTGCCCTCCATGATGTATTGAAATTTAGATGTTACTGATGTGAAGAGACAGTCATACTATGACAGTTTATAGACTTTACCGAACAATCGTTTATACAGACTCGTTTATATTTACTATGGCATTGTATATTGTTTTGATATGGGCACAATGAAAAAATATGAAAAGAAAGTCTCATTCTAAAGATATTTTAATTTCTAGCATACTTTTCTAATGTGACTATCAGACTAGCGTAGTTGTGTTAAATGGTGGCGGTCATCACAAAGCACATGTTCGAATTTCATGTAAACAAACAATGTATTTTACACGCATTGTGTACGTCGCCATGACTAGCACTTTTCTTGAATGCGAAATCAAACTCACAGTGGTTTAAAGTTAGAACAGTGGATTCTGTGTAAAACCAACATGTATCTTACAGGTTTATTAATTTTAATAACTCATATACAAGATCTAATGCATATCGCATACACCTCACTGCATTGGCGGAAAACATTTTGCAAACACAGTATTATACAATGTTTCAAGCAGTGTATCCTCAATTCAGCTTTTTTACTGTGTCCATGGCATTTTTTTAAGTGAAAGAAATCACATTGACAGCAAGCACTGCCAGTGTATAACTATTGATGTCAGTACAGCTAAATATCTATAAATCTGTTATTTAGCATTTCGGCATCTTAGTCATCAAAAATGACAGGGACACTTTACACCACATCTTTGAAAGTGGGCGGCAATTCAACCCCCTAGCCCTAGATTCATCCGCGGTATAATATGAGAAGGATCGGTCTAAAGTTCTGGTGAAGTTTGTCGTCGATAACGAGTAACGTGTTATATTGCAATACTACTAGTAGAGTGAACGTGTCTAATACAAAGTAATACAAAGATTCAACGAAGTTTTATCTGCGCGGGCCATTGGTGCGATAACTGCTTGGAGCGGTAATTGAAAGGATCGGGGAATAATAATTCAGTACGATGTATACAAATCATCGCTGTCTTAACGCGCTGACTAGTGATCAGTGGTGTAATATGCCTTTAGACAAAAAGCTCCGAATGTCATTTATTTTTTTGCTTTCTTTCAAGCTACAAAATACGTACGTTGTCCTGTATTCAAACGACTCACAGTCAGCTGATCACGTCGCAGTCAAAAAAAGTGTCAGACTACTGATTATAGATTTAAGCTGAGTGAACCAGTTGCTATGGTGATGAACTTTACCTTTTGCACATAATCAATGCACGTAATACATCACAATCACAGTACATTGTCTAATTGTGACACCGATAGATGGTCGCTCGAGCATAACTGCGGTCTTCTTAGACGAAAAGTATATACTTACTGAACAGAAACGGACCCTTCGACCATAATAAGTTTGACCTATGACCTTTCGTCATAATAAGATTGACCTATTTTACTTCCTTATTTAGAGCGAGTGCCCATAAATATCTGAGAGATTTTGCAAGAGTTAGATGTAAAGGAATTTTGCAGTGGTAATTTCGGGAGCTAAAATAAACATGATTAAAGCGCGGTAGTCGTCGCGCTGCGCATGTGTGACATTTGTGTTGATAAACATTGATTTTCCCATAATCCAATGCGTTCTTCAAATGGAAATCACAAGTATGAGGTTTGACCTGGGCGCGACTTGCTTTGATTACCGACAGTGACTCCTTCGATACCTTCCAATCACATGAAAATTGCCTAATTAAAACTTGGAAACGTCTCAGTTCGTACTCGTTGATCTGCGAAACAGTCAAAGTCGCCATCTTTGTTTATATGAGACCCATATAGCTCGCACATGCGCAGCACGAAGACTACCGCGCTTTAAGTGGAAAACAATCAGTAAATCTCATTACGAGTATGTGTGACTAACACCACCTGGTCTAATAGTACAGACAGTGTTTAAATATACAATCGATACCAATAATTTGGAACCATACTGACATAACCTGACATTTACCATATACCAATAAACATGACTGTGCTCTTGAATTATTAATTTATTTCATTACCATGTACATGTACATTTTTTGAAAGGACATGCAAATATAAGGGATTCTATGTGTTACTATCTTTGTGACATAACGCACGTTTTCTTGCGAACTAGCAATGTCGCTTCTACAGCACACTCAAGTATTCGTAACTACGCGTGCACTTTGAATTAATAGTACGTACCAGTAGTTTAAATCGAATTAGCACACAGTATACTGTTGAACATGAAGTATGATAAAGTAAGCAAGTTTTCTCAGTGTACTATCGGTCACAGATAATAAAATATTCGAAGTTATCTATAACAGCTGACCCAACCCTTTTCAGTGCTGGTGATCTGTGGATGAACAGTTTTACGACTACGAGTTTTACGGCATTCTGTATATGGCATTTGCGTTGCTTTCCCTCTTAGTCTGACGTTTGGTGGCGCAGTTTCGGAAAAACCGAAAACAGAGTGTACTGTGACAGAAAGAGGGCGTGGCTACAAATTATTTATTTATTACAAATGTTCATTTCAGAGCAACAGAAACCAAAAACATGCAATGGCACGTCAAAGGCAAAAGGGTTTGATACGTACCAAATAATACCATAGCAGAAGAGACCAGTTTGGATAACAGGAGTAAATCGCTAAAAACTTGTTCGATATTCTGAACGCTATTACCGACAAAGTATGAGATTTTCATCGTTCACAAAATAAATCTGCATAATGTTTACCTTATTTTTTAAAGCCAGAAGTCGTCACCAGCGCACGTGACAGACGGTAATAGCGTGCCGTTGTTTACAATCAAGACCCTGCCCACGGATAACCAATTAATTAATTAATTATCCGTGAGCAGGGTCTTGATTGTAAACTGAT